TGTGCTAGGGAAATACTACAGTGTGCCATCAGACTGTGGCAAGGTGTTTTATGTACTCCTGCTGTTTAATGCCCAAGCTGAGGGTCACCCTGGCCCTGCTAGGAGGCCATGCTGCCTGTGAGATATGTATGCATGTGTGTGTTGGGCACTGGCCCCATGTCTGATAGACTCCCAGACACATGGCTGACCCAGCTGTGACTCTTCAAGCCCCTGCCCTATTGTCCCTCCTAAGTCATGATTTTATTTTGTCCCATCAGAGCTTTGTCAGCTAGCACTCCAGGTGGCTTCTTCGTGGGTTGATTCCTTTGCTTCCCCAGAGTGTTTCTTTCACAAAGTAGGTAACACTGTTAAGATGTAAGACCCAATGCGTCAAAACGCCTGTGGTTTTCCCTGTCACCCTTGACTGACCTATTGGGAAGGAGATAGGCATCAAAGTTGGAAGACATTTCTCCTTGGGATTCTAGAGTCCCTGTTTGCTCTGCTTTGGATATGGTTTGCTTCTGAAGGCTCATGTGCTCCCAGTTTGGTCCTGTGTGGTGGTGTTGAACTGGTAGACTCTTAAAGAGGGGGAAGGTCCTTAGATCATGGGGACTAGCCCCTCATGAAGAGGTTAGTGTCAACACTGCAGAACAGAGTGGGTTGGGTCTCACAGGAATGGGTCAGTTTCAAAATGAGTTGGTTGTCATTATAGAGTGACCATGCCTCTTCCCCTGCCTCTTGCTTCCTGTCTCTATCTGGCTTCTTACATGTGTCCGACCATGTGATGCCACTATGACGCCCTCCTATGAGCATGCTGATGTCATGCTTTTGGGCTCCCAGAATAGTGAGCTGAATAAATCCCTTTTCTTTGCAAATCTTCTAGTGTCAGACTTCATGTAACAGCTACACAGATGAAGGACTTGCTCCTGGCTTCGAGCATTTGGTGTTTCGGTTGGGAAGCCTGCTGGCCTTGGCTCTCTAACCTAATGTGTGTAATTTCCTCTTGAAAGCCTCTGGGTCTACCTCTAATTCCCAATGTTCTGATACTTTTCTGTGGGAATAATTTCTTGCAGCTTGCTAATTTAAATATTTAATATTACAATATCATTTACATATGCATCACTTAAAAACAAATATAAACTTCCGATGCTTATGGTTCACCCAATTATGAAATTATACTGGGAGTTGCAAATTAAACACAAACACAACCATCTTAATGTGCACCATGTATGAACTGCGAGGGCTGACTTCTTTCTTTCAGTAGCAGGGAACCCGTACCTATCGCTGTGGCTCAGAGTCGGCTGGATGATATCTAGCATTGCTTGGTGTGAATGAGTCATTCCTATGATTAAATTTGTATATATTTAGACTGCCCTCTGACCTTTGTCTCAGTAGCCCATGACAACTAATGTAGATCCTGTTTGGTGCAATGTGTAAATACACTTGGCTTAGTTTGATGTAGTCACAGGTGATCATTCCAAGAATATGCTTGTTTACGGGAAGTTTGGGGGATTGTCACTAGAAGGAAAACATGAAGTATCAATGTTTTCATAGAGAACTCACATAACCCTAAGGGCTCTGTTCTGATCTTGTATCTTCTGTGTCAATCGCCCCTTCTCCACACAGGCTCATACAAAGGTGAGACACAGATGTTTGACTGGTTTTCTCATGAATGTTTGGACAGCCCACAGTAGCTGATGTTTGCCAGGCTCCTCAGACTCCACCATCACTGCCCTCCCCTGTTTCTATGGAGATGCCACAGTCTGCATAGTAGTTCATACCATTGTGTCCTCCCATGCCCGCTTTGGGATAGACACTTCTGAGAGCTGCAGAGCTGTTGTGTAAAACTAGATGACACAATCCTTTTCAAATTTGCATTTAGCTTGAGCATTCCTGCTGGTCTTACTCTTCTGGGACAAGGCGGCATTTACATTTTGTAAAAACTTATTTGACCACTCTCAGAGTTCAGTATGAGCCCTCTGGCTAGTTAGAAATATGTATATATGGGGGGACTCAAGTGAGCTGGCTGGAGAGGGGAGGGAGAAAGAGAATATGCCTGATGTGGTGCACAGCAGTGAGACTGTATTCAAGGTAGTTTGCATGCAAATGTGTGTGTGTGAGAGAGTGTGCATGAGAAAGAAAGTATGCATGCTGTGGCATGTGGGGTGTGTGTGTGTGTGTGTGTGTGTGATATGGTGGTGTTAGGTATACATGTGTGAGTGTCCATGGTGGTATGTATGTGAGTACATGTGTCATTATTTAAGGTGGGATTGACCTGTCTCAGTTGGTGTGTGTGTGTGTGTGTGTGTGTGTGTGTGTGTGTGTGTGTGTGAGATATGGTGGTGTTAGGTACACATGTGTGAGTGTCCATGGTGGTATGTATGTGAGTACATGTGTCATTATTTTAGATGGGCTTGGCCTGTCTCAGTTGTATTACCATATACTAATGTCAGAGCCTGTGTGAAGCTCCCGGTTACTGTGGCTGCCTATCAGGGTCACATGTTGTCACTCAGCGCTACAGTGTAGGCCTGAGCATTGCAGAGTGAGTGTCCTGCCTTTGCTTCATAGCTGCATGGACGCTGGTCCTGCTGGCCTCACAGCTGCTAGGTCGGGCAGGAAAGTCTGGATGGTCCCAGCATCCCTACTGTTTCCCTTTCTCTGGAGCATCCTGGGCTCAGAGCCTGGGTCTGCTCTGTACTTTTTCCTTCTCCAGCATCCAGCTCATTGATTCTTGAGCTCCCTCTCTTCTCCTTCCCCGATTCTCACACTTCTTAACCCTGTCTTCCATTCTCGAGGACTCGCATTCCCGTCCAGTGCGTGAGAACAGCCCTGTCCACACAGCCCCCAACTCTCCCATCAGCTGTAACTGGCCCAGCTCCCTCATTTGTCCTTTCCTGCCCTGGCTGAAGTGCCTTCAGCGGCCATGTTCTCATCAAGGTGACATCAGCTTGTGACTGTCCAAGTTTATTTCTCCTATTCCTACTTCCTGGTGAGTTTTTAAAAACTGAGATTTTTTTTTGTTTTTTTACATTAAGGATTGTAGTTTGGTCAACTTGGGGGAAGTGATGGTGTCAATTCTCACCCACTCCCTCTGTGGCTGGCCATCTTACAGTTTATGGAAAGCCATGAGACAAAGACTGGACCGTTCTAAGTTTAGCTTCTGGAAAGATAAGTAGTTTTGTTTGTTTGTTTTTCACTCTGGGGAAAGGAATCTTGGCCCCAAGCTGCCTCCCTTCCTCTGTTACAGACACTGTTTTTGTTGGAGTCCAAGCTGAGAAAGTATGTGGGATGTTTCAATGATCTCTAATTTTTAAAAGAGAAGCATCCTTGGGGTTTTTGTAGGTGGTGGAATACACCCACAGAAACTCTCAAAACCACAGAATAAAAAGCCCCATCCATTTGGGTTTTGTTTTGCGGTCCATTCCTGGGCTAGGTGGCACATGGGAGCCTTTGGTGTATTTCCTTTGGACATCAGGTCAGCTTTCACTCTTGAACGCCTATTAAATGCACTAATTTTATATTTGAAAATAAAAAAGTGAAACCTTGGCAACTGAAGGGAGAACACAAGTATCTCTCAGAATCACTCCTGCCGCCGGGACTTTGGGCTAGCATCACAGTCATAGTACCAGCAGAATGCTTGCCTAAAGAAGCATGGGGGCGGGGCTAATAACATTGTCCAGCACTCTGAAGATCATTGTTTCACTTCTTGGCACCAGAGCCTCCGAGTGGGTACATATCTTTAATATGGGGCAAATACCCAAAGGCAGCCAAACTCTGGTTAGGCCACTAGAGACTCTGGAAGCCTTCACTGCCTTGGAAATGACTGAGTCTGTCATTGTTCTAGGATTAACATCCAGAATCCAGAGTCAAGAGAGCATGTAGAATCACCATCCTTTGATAGCCTCTGTGGTGTGCAGGCTGTACATGGCTGCCCCAGGCCCCTGAGGCATCTGGTCAGGCAGAGACACCGTGGCTACCTGAGGTGCCTGTGACTATTACTCAGTCAGTCCTTACTGTGTGTCAGCATTACCTCTTACGAAGAAGCCCACAGTTTTCCAGTCACATGACCTCCGGTCTCAGGAGTGACCTGGGAATGGCCTTTAAGACTCAGTATTTCCTCTGCACCTCTTAATCTCTTTGGAGAGTAAGGATTTTTAGGACTGGGACTTTGCTTCCTGACTCTGGTTCAGGGGTCTAGTGGCCCTGTGGTCATTCTACCCCTCAGGACCTTTCATCCTGATGATATGTTCTAAGTCTCGTGCAGAAGCCATGTACAGCACGAGCTCTCCAGCACTTGAGATGTGGTTGCTGTGAATCTGTGTCTGGCTCTCAGTGTGAGGAATTTAAATGCCACCCGTGGTGGCCATGTTAGATAACCCAGCTCTCCAGGTCTGGAGAGATGGGTCAAGCGCAGTAGCTGACAGAGAGCCCCGTGCACTCCTAATGAGAGGACATCTGGCTGAGGTGCCCCTGCGTGGGGCAAACATCATCACACAAGGCCAAGCTGGCTTGATACAGTTTGGCTCGGCATCAAAGCTGTGATTTTTGTGGTAGGGGTGAGGGGTGAGGACCCCACTGCTGTGCTGTTCTGAGGAGGTACTCATTACTGACTGTGCTTTTGTGTCCTAGGACAGATGACTCTAAGCTGGCCACCGCTCCCATTTCTTGAGTAGGATCTGTGCCAGGTTCCTCTGATAGATTTACAAAGCCATGACATAAATGTTCAGTGTCCACAGAGGATAAATACTCTGCCAGTCTATGATCTTCTTCTCATGGGTGTGATTTACTGTTAGGATGCTAAACACTCCACTGTTCCCCCTCACCCTCTTTTTTCTTTCTTCCCTTCCTTTCCCACCTCTCATTTCCTCCCCCCTTTCTTCACCCTCCTCCTCCACCCCTACCCGTTTCTAGTCTTGCTCTCTCCTCCTTCCTCATCACCCCTTCTGGTTGTATAATCGAGTCCTCAGTGTGTACTACTTAGTTTCTCCCTGAGCTAAAGCCCTCCCCTTCGCTCCCACCAGGAAGAAGAAATGCCAGAAGTAGAAATCGACATTGATGATCTTCTTGATGCTGACAGCGAGGAAGAGCGAGCTTCGAAATTACAGGTAAACAGCTTTCAGAATCTAGGATTTTATGAACATGGCTGTTTGAGTCCACTTGGGTTTCCAAAGCCTGGGTGTAACTGCTGCTGTCTGGTGGGGACACTGGCAGTCCCCAGGATTGGAGCAATGGTGGTCTGTAAAACAGAAAGCATCGCCACTAGCTTGTCACCATCTACTGCATGTCTGATAATAAAACATGTTGACAACAGACAGTTTTCCATGGGCCTTCCAAGGCACATTATTATCTTGGGAAAGAGAGTTGGCTCTACCTTGAAAAGTCGATCTCCAGGGAAGGCAGCGGTGCCATGCAGGCAAGTACGAAGGAAAAGAGACTACCAGATCAGGGAATATCCAAGTCCTGGGCTCTGGCCTTTCAACTGTGGATTAAATCATTCATGAAAGCAATTTCTAGAATTAGATGGCTTGAAATGTAATTCTGTTTAGTAAAGTACCTTTTTATTAGGCGCTCACCTGATTGTATTCTGCCGGAACAGCTGGGATTGAAGTGCCTAATGTTCCGTATCAGAAAGCAATAAAACATAGCTCTTCCCATGGGAGGTCAGGCCTACCACTTCTCAATGTGCACTGGGCAGTTCAAAATCTAATTAGCCTGTGACCTGCCATTGCTCTTAACGTCCACTGGAAATTACGGTTAGTGGCTGTTGGCTATTCCCAGTGACGCATGGTGACTGGAGCCAAAGTGCACATTTTACTCCATTGATGTGATTAATGTGTTCATAATTACTAATGCCCTGGGAGTGGCAAGAAGTCTCTGTGACAATGATTATTCCTTGTGTGTAGATTTCATTCAGAGACAATAGTATTTTTTGTTTTTAAAGATAAAGTAGCCATCAGTTCTATAGAAAATAAAATAACATATAAAATAAGCTGAGAACTTGGAAGGGACTTTTTTTAGTTGTTCTCTTGTCTCCGTCTTCCTGGTTGGTTCCCAGGTGAGTGAGGAGAGAAGAACCGAGGACCATCTGTGGCTGAATCATGGCCAGGGCCCTCTCTCCGTGTCCAGAGTTTTCCATAGGCAGAGTCTCAGCATTAAGAATGTACAGTTTAATATTATCCAGGCAGGGAGTTCAAAGGGAAGTGGGTGCCCACATGAGTGTGTGCAGAAAGAGGTTAAAAAAAAAAAACACCCTTCAAAGCAAGCTCTGCTCAGCGAGGCATTTATAAACTAGTGAGGGTAATGTTTGACTTTTAAGACTGCGATAGCCCCAAAGGCAAGTATTTTGTAATTCAAAAACCCTATGCAGTATATATGTGCATATGTACCCATGCTAAGGACAAAATATGGCTGCATATGAATGACATTTTAATGTCTTAACTGACCAAGTGCTGAATAAGATGTGATTGTAGAGAGTCAATGGGAAGCCCTGGCAGACTTGTGTAAAATAATAAAGATGAAATGAGGGGCCTGAAGAGAAGGGGACTTGCTGCTCTTCTAGAGGACTAGAACTCAGTTCCCAGCTCCCATGTCAGGTGACTCACTACTGCCGGTAACTCCAGCTCCATGGAATGTCCAACAACCTCCACGGCTTTCATGGATACTGCACTCCTGTATACATACTCCATAGACCTTCCCCTACACATAATTAAAGATAACATACATTAAATTAAAAAGAAATGATTTTTATTTTACTTTGAAGATGATGAATTTAAAAATAAAAACTGACTTTCCATGTATTTAATTCTAGGAAGCTCTCGTAGACTGCTATAAACCAACAGAGGTAAGCAAATTATTCTACCTAAGTGCTGTGTTGGAATTGGTTTTTGTCAAACCAATTTGTCTGTTTTGAAAGCTAAGCTACAACAAGTGAATGCAAATTACCAGTTTCCGCCCATGAGTGCCTGTGCTCTCGCGGTGCTAGCTTTATCATTTCTAAGCCTAAACCTGTTTGGTTCAGGAAGATGTTAATGGAATGGGGTGTGCTTATGTTTTAGAGAAAATTATCTTCACAGAAAATTGTGAGGAGGTACAAATTCATTATAGAGGGAGAATATAGCTTATGACTTGATGGGTATGCATTTAAAAAATAATGCCTAAAACCAGGGCTGGAGAGATGGCTTAGCGGTTAAGAGCACTGGCTGCTTTTGCTTTTCCAGATGACCTGGGTTCAGTTCCCTGCTGCTACAACCACCTGTAGCTCCGGTTCTAAGGGATCCAGTGCCCCATTCTGACATCTGTGGGTTCTAGGCATGTACAAGGCAAAAACATGCACATTAATTACCTTTATTAGGAGAAAAATGTTATACTTTGTCTGGGTATTTCTCAAGTGGTATGTATTAGCATAAGAAACAATGGATATTGCTAATTAGACCAAAGCATTCGATGTAGAATCTAAATGATTAAAAGCAAAAACAGGGTAGATATTAAGGTTTTGATCAGTTATAAACTGTTAGACCCCCAAAAAACTTTGTTTGCTCCTATGGTATATCAGAGAAATTAGAAGACAGATCAGGTGTTTAGGAGTCACTTAACATCCAAGCAAGGGTGGTAACTCTTCTGATTTTTGAAGTAGCAAATATGGAGAAAAGATGCTTTTAGAAGTGTGTATGTCTGAGTGTGAGGTGTTTTATGATTACTTGGTTTAAGTTTGAGTTACGTATTTAAAGCCTCCAGTTTTGATTATAGCCTATGGAAATTCAAATGTTTAATTTTGTCTATTAAAAGTATATTTTTGGTGAATATAACACACATTCATACTTTTGAAAAACCTCCAAATGTTATAAGGCTGAGAAAATAAAGGTTTCTTCCCCCTCCACCTCTCTAGAGGCATTTATAGATAACACATTTGTCTATTTACTTTCACTTACTGTTATATCCATAGTTATGGATTATTGCTTTTATTCTTCATCTTTTGGCTTGAGGGGAAAATTGATAGTTTGCTTACTATTGACGTAAATCATTTTCATTTATTCCCTCAATAAGTTATATAGCCATATTTTATTAAATCAATAGTTGAAGTCTATAATTTTATGACTTAAACAAGTGTTTACTAAACCAACAGCGAACGAGGCCCATGGCTCCTTGTGTGTGTGTGCATGCGTGCGTGTGTGTGTGTGCGTGCGTGCGTGCGTGTGTGTGTGTGTGTGTGTGTGTGTGTGTGTCCCTTTGTCTCTCCTGGCCTTTGATTTAGTCTAGTCCCTGTTGCTAATTTGCTGACATTCCACTGTTTTTGTCTATCCCATAATGTTTTCCAAGTGCTTCATTCTCATCCTTCTCCCAAAACCTTCCTCTGGAACTGCTGCTGAGCGGTTTGGAGAAGCCGTTCTTGGGTTCTGCTGAGTAGCTCGATTTGAGATTTCTGTTCATTGCTGTCCTGGATTCCGTAATCCAGCACCTTACACTGCTTCTCCACCCTACCCAGCCTTCTGTCCTGGATTCCATCTTTAGCCTCCACACCCCAGTCTCCTGTGTTTCTGGAGATGATTGGAGCCTACCATCCAATAATATTTTTGCAAAGGATGTATATAGGTACATTTTTTGAATCCCTATATATGGGACATTGTATCTCAATCAATATTATGGATGATGTGGTAGAAGTCTAAGATAAAGTCACAATTAAACTCAAGTGAAAATACACTATTCTGGGATGGTGTCCTTTCTAGTGGTGAGAAGTCCAAAGCCATTTCTGCTCTTAGACCCTTGCATGTGACAGTTCTCCCCAGTGAGCTTGTGGAGCTCTTTCTATAGTTTGAAATTTCATAGTTGCTTGCTCTGGTGTGACACTGAGTCTTTTGTTGGCTCTTGAAGTTTGAACACATAACTTTCTGTGTTTCAGAAATCGTCTGTTTTGTTTTTGTTTTTTACGCATTGATTTTATTTATATCTTCCTCAACTTTCTGCATGTCAGGTTTTTCTTCTTATTTAGAATTAACTTTAGGTGGAACCTCAAAGCTCATTCCCATTTTGTTTTCCATGTGCTTTGCCTCATCCCAGCTTCTAAAACACTTCCTGGACTCTAGTTCTTCTGGTGATTTTTATTAACATCTTAAAACGTTATCTGTCTTATGTCTAACAGCCGAGATTTCTTTCTGGACTAGTTTCCCTTTTTTCCTGTTTCATGGCTCAATTTTATTCCCTTTTGCCTGTCAGGATTTTAACCAGGTGCTTTATTTTCATGCTGCTTTATGAAGGCTGGACATGCAGCGTGTGCGGGGCCTCCCATCCCCGGTGCTGAGGTAAAAAGCAATGGATCAGGCAGATGGGCAACTGCACTGTGGAGAGGCACTGATTGCTGCTGAGAGAAACCAGATTGGCAGGTGCAGGATGTCATCTCTCAAATACTCACTCCCTTTTTGTTCTGCTCCCCTCTGAGCTGGACGGCTATTTAAACGAGCAGGCTTGGACTGGCAGGTATATATTTTGATGGGCCCCACAGACAGCACCCTGAACAATCCTCTTTGTGTCCCCTTGCTTTTTGCTGTGTCTAGAGATCAAACCCTATACCTGTTCACAGCTATGCAGATAAATGAATGAGGAGGGTCCTGTTCCTGCAACAAAACTCATCTAACTCATCCCCCCCCCTTTTCTGGTGTGTGCATTTGTGCGTACCTCTTCACATAGGTGCATGCATGATGTGAGCACATGTGGATGCATGGAGGCTAGAGATCAACATTGCCTGTCATTCCCCAGGTGCTGTCCAACTCTGCCTGGTTTTGTGGTTCCTTGGTTCTTTGAGAGGGTCTACCTCCCTGACCTGGAGATTTCCATGTAGGCTAGGCTGGCTGGCCAATGAGCCCTAGGAATCCTCCATTTTCTACCTCCCGGGGCCAGCACTAACTACCATTCCTGGCTGGGGGTTGAACTTGGCTCCTCCTGCTCCTCCACAGCAAGCCCTTTGCCAGCTGAGCTATCTGTCTCCTTAGCCTCAGCCTCTGCTCACGGCGAAACGCGGTCTTTGACTACTCCCAATGGAGGGCAACCAGCTAAAGTTTCCAAGTGAACATCTCTGGATTCCCTTTTTAGCTCACGATTTAGAGGAATGGAAATACTGCTGAGTAAGGGAGTCATTCAATTCATTTATCCCAAAGGACCCTCTGGGGAAGGTGGAGTGCTTTGCCTTTTAATGTGTGCTCATATGGCACAGTTTTGGACTCTTTGGCTTTGAGAGAAGGTACTGGCTTTTACTTTCCAAAATTAAATAGCTCACACCGTGCGAACCTACACTGTCCTATTTAATCCACATAGCCATCAGTTAGAGTACAGAGGGTTTGGGTAACTTGTCTACGGTGTCAGAAGAGTGGGCCAGTCAGCCAGTATTTGACCTTGAGGTCTACCACTGCGCCTGGAGTGCTGCCATCTCATCCCGCCAGTCCTCATAGGTGCCTCCCGTGCCTTAGTGAGAGATTCAGACCCTTAAAGGATGCTATCTGAACTGAACGAGATGCTGAATAATGTAAGCACCCCCCCCCAAAACAGCCATCTCTGGAGGGGCTGCGCTTGGTCAAAGTCACTTTATATAAAATCCTATCACTTGGAAGTCTGAAATGTAAGCAAGGACTCTTTGCAGATAGAGATGGGTTTGCTTACAGCCTCATGCTGCAGAGAGAGGGTGGGTGGTGGAGAGAAGAATGGGTTTTGGGTTGAGTGTTTAGTGCTGTGTGAGTTTAAATCGCGCTCTCAGCTCTCTGAGCCTCCATTTCCTTTTTTCATAAGTGGAAGTATCGTAGCTGTCCTCTGCATTTAAGTAAGGGCTGCTTGCAGGAATGCTTTTAACAGCAGCAACAACAATACTAGCTAATTGATTAATAAGCTGGGCATCAGTCTAGTCACATCTCATGCACTGACTATTTCTATGAACATTTTAGACATTTGTTAAATCATTCATGACCTAGTATTTTACATAGGTGTCCAGAGCAACTTTAGATTCACAGCATAATATACCAGACGATATAAAGATTTCCTGCCTATACCCCCAACCGCCTCCATGACCAAGATCCCTCACCAGAGTGGCACATTTCTAGGTCCCAATGAATCTGCACTGATACATGGTAATCATCCAAGTCCACAGTCTACATCAGTGTTAACTCTTTTCTCCCTACTGTGAGTTTTGAGGAATGTTTGGCCTGTGTTTATAATTCACAGTGTCTTACAGACTAGCTTCACTCTCCCACATTCTGCCTTCCCATTCCTCCCTCCTTCCTGGAGCATGACACTGCTGTCTCCATAGATTCCTCAGTCTGTCATCTAGGTGGAGTCTTACAATATGTCATCCCACAGACTGGCATCTTCTTATCCATATGCCTCAGTCTCCTCCCTGTCTTTCCGTGGATTGGTAGCCCACTCCCATTTAGCTTTAGATGATAACCCCAGGTCTGTACATTCTGCTCACCTATTGAAGTATGTCGTGATTGCCTTCAAGGTTTGGCAATGCTGCTCTGAATATTCGTGTGCAGACTTGTAATGATAAGTTTCCATGTCTTTGGGGGTAAATTTCAATGAATGTGATAGCTGTATTGTATCTTAAGACTGTATTTGCATTTGTGGGAAACTATCAAACCCTTTTAAGGTAGCCAGATTGCTTTTCATTCTCTCCTGCCCCAAATCCTCCCCCAACACTTGGTGATGTTGGTGCTCTGGACTTTCAGCCATTCTGACAGTTTTATGTATAGTGATGTTTCATTGTTTTAATCTAATATTCCCCATGGCATATATAATCTTAAGCATCTATTTGTATATTCATTTGCTACTTATGTATTTCTTTGGGGGAAAATATGTCTAGTG